ACGCGTGTTCATATTTGCAATCGCTTTCAATTTTCAACTTTTAATGTATACGATATTCATTAAAGCCTCCACAACATAGTCTAATACATACGCTTGCGTGTTTGCATATTTTTAGGCGCTTCAATTAGCATACTTTAAATATTTAATGAATTTGAGTAATTTTTTTATTTTATTTTTTTTGTATAAGAATTTTTTATATGCATATAAAATACATGTATGCTATTATTTCGTTGTTTCGAAAATTTCGAAGGTAGCAAAATGGTTTCAAAAACCAGCGCAGTATTTTTTTNAAATTTTTTTTCATTTTTTTTTTTTGTATAAGAATTTTTTATATGCATATAAAATACATGTATGCTATTATTTCGTTGTTTCGAAAATTTCGAAGGTAGCAAAATGGTTTCAAAAACCAGCGCAGTATTTTTTTGTTATATTTTTAACCTCGTAATTACTATAAAAACTAATATTAGCTATTTTTTTTTTGTAATATTTTTGCTATACTAACACATAAAAATACCAAATGCCTTGCATATCCCTATGTTCACATGCTATTGTTAATTTAATAGTACCTAGTTTTAATATCAATTGTAAACATTTTTAAATGTTATTTTATTGTGCAAAATCGTTAAACGAATGAATGCAAAGAAAAAAATATCCAACAACTGATNATTTTATTGTTCAAAATCGTTAAACGAATGAATGCAAAGAAAAAAATATCCAACAACTGATGTGCGAATGAAAAATCGAGAGGAAGTAGCGACATTATTTTTTTTGGTTTTTTTTAAATTTTTTTTTTTAATTTTTTTTTTTTAATTTTATCTAGTAAATATTTGTAGTGATAATGAATCCTCGCAGGATAGAGAAACCTAGTAGTGTGTAGAAGCCAATTGTATGCCAAAAAAATATGGAGAGAAAATGTTGAGCGAAGTAAATGCACAGAAAAGGCTGGAAGGTACAAAAATTAGATGCTGCATTTCCCTGAAACTCCATGTATGCTTTCCAAATACAGAATTATTTGCTTCGCTTAGCATTCGAAGAGTTTAGCGTTCATCAAAACACGATGAATGGTAAATTTGATTTTAAATACCTCAGCAATATTTTTCTTTTCGCAAGAAAAAAAAATTAAAATACCACCAAAGTTGTGTGTGAATTTTTGCTGGCTTTTCGCAACGCCAAAAGTCGGCAATTGGCAGGTAGATGACGTTTGTTAACTCCTTAGTTGTTATATAAAAAAAAAAAAATGGTTTTAAATAAAATATGTTTTAGTATGGATCTTTCACATATCCTTTTCGCTAATTTAGTTTCTAATTAGATTTCTTTGTGCTAGTACCGTTTTTGCACTATTTTTTTTTTTTTATAACCTTTTGTACGTTTTTATGCCTATTTTGTAGTTTATTTTTCTCCCCTGCAACGGAATATATATTTTTTTGTTCTTGAGTTTGTATGCATTTTATTAGCAATGTATGAAATTTTAGAATTTCGTTTATTTGCCTTTTTATATCAACAAAATGTTAGCATTGACCGATTATTTTTTTATTAATGGACACAGCACGCATACACACACACACACACACACACACAGAAATGTGAACACTTTTGTTATTTAAAAAAGATTGTAGTTATACTTACTTTTTGGCACATTTGTATAGCTTCTTTAAAACCTTTTTCTATGATACTTAGCATGTGTTGGTGTCTGTTAATTTGAATGAAAGCATTCAAGAAAGCGTTACTAGCTTTTCACATACATATGCTTGCGGCTTAGCATTCGATATGTGTATATGCATATATGTATCTCCCAATAGGGTGAGCCGCCGCCCTAGCCCGATATGAATGCCAAAAATAGGCAATGAACCACCTCTTTGGCAGCGCTATGAATTACTATTTTATTTTTTGTAAATTACGTCTGTGCTAGGTTTAAAAAACTAAGGCGCGTCTTGTTGCAGCAAATATATTTCGGAGTCCTTGAGTCACCTTTGCGTAGACATGCTTTCGTAGTCAAATTACGTTGTACGCGTCGCCTAATACTTTTGTAATAATTAATTTTTAGCGATTTTCATTTCACTCGAAAACGTGACGTGGTCTCGAGATACACGATTGGGCGGTGAAAATGTACTTTTCTAATTTTATAAAGCTTTAGAAAAATTCACTTATTCGAAATGTTAAGAAAATTAAAAGACGTTTACTATTTCAACTAATTTCGTTCGCTTAGTATAATCAATGTAAGTTAGTTAATATTTGTGTGTTTTTTTTTTACTACATAGATGAGCGCCTTCTTTGGACTGTTAAGACGCTTTTACAATACTACAACAACCACTTACACTTACATTTGTATAGTAATAAAAGATACAAAAACACATTTAGATGACTAGAGGATGCTGCAATACATTTACATAAACATACACATGCATACATACATACAATCACAAAAAATAATGTAAAATTAAATATAAACTTTAATAATTTCTGAAGCAAAACCATTTTTTATATAGAATTTTT